TGGGATTCCTGAGGGCCTGTCTTAGCTGTGCAAAGGCAATGTTCAGTAACTCCGCCTTCTCTGTACCCTTCGTCACCAGGGCACCCACCTTGTTCAGCAACTGGCCCACCTTTTCCCCAGCCTTCCTTTTGCTGCTGATGTATTTGAAGAAGCCCTTCTTCTTGTCTTTGACATCCCGTGCCAGATTTAATTCCCAGTGGACCGTAGCCTTCCTCATCGCATGCCTGTATACCCTGACAACATTCTTATATTGCTCCCAAGTGGCCTGTTCCTTTTTCCACATGCCATAAGCTTCCTTCTTCCATTTGAGTTTTGACAGAAGCTCTTTGTTCATCCATGCAGGTCTCCTACCCACTTTGCTTGATTTCTTGCTCATAGGGATGCATCGATCTTGAGCTTAGAGGAAGTGGTGCTTGAATATGAACCGGATCTCTTGGGCCCCGCTACCTTCCAGAGCCCTAACCCCTGGGATCCCTCCAAGCAGGTCCCTGAAGAGGCTAAAGTTAGCTCTCCTGAAGTCCAGGGTAGTAATGCCACTTGCCCTGCTTCCTCCACACAGGATCCTGAACACCACCGTCTCGTTGTCACTGTAGCCAAGGCTGCCCCAACCTTTCCATCCCCAGCCAGTCCTTCTTTGTTAGTACAAGGTCCAGTAGAACCCCTCTCCTCATTGGCTCCTCCACCACCTGTGTCAAAAAGTTATCGTCAATGCTCTGCAGGAACCTCCTAAACTGTGTGTGCCTGGCTGTGTGGTCTTTCCAGCAGATATCAGGGTGGCTGAAGTCCCCCGTGAGAACTAGGGCCTGTGATCGTGAGGCTGCTTTCAGCTGTCTGTAGAAGGCCTCATTGACTTCCTCATCCCGATCAGGTGGCCTGTAGTAAACACCCACAAGTGTCACCCATATTAGCCGGCCCCTTAATTCTTACTGATAAGCTCTCGACTCGTTCTTCGTCTGCCCCTAGGCAGAGCTTGATACATTCCAGTTGCTCCCTTACATAGAGAGCAACTCCACCACCTCCCCTTCTTGGCCTGTCCTTCCTAAAATAGCCCTGTTTTAGCCAAACCAGGACACTATCCATGGCAGCATTCCACTCATGCAAGTTATCCCACCATGTATCGGTCATTGCAATGAGATCATGGCCCTGCGACTGCACACATCTCTAAGGGATGTCATACCACAGTAGAAGTAGCTCACAGCTTTCAGTTATTTTCTTTAATGCCTCAGCAGAGTTGCAGTTTTAAATATTTTCCTTTGGCTAGAAGCTTTCCTCAGAGGGGTTGGTGAATGCATTCACTCTGCAGACACTGAAGAAATCAAGACAATACTTTGCATTCTATTTTATATCTGATGACCTGTAGCACTAAATTGCCATGCTTAGTTTCATAATACCCACGAGAATCACCATATAGTTACAGTTTCACAGGTGAGGGAACTGAGGTTTATTACATTGCCTGTACCTGCGAGTTAAACAGCAATAGACCTCATGGTCTGTAAAGGGCCTCATCAACTGGGCTATAGCCAAGGGGTTTTGAAAAGCTTCAGCAGATTTTCTGACCTGCCAATTCTGAGTCTTCATCATGGGATCTCAGGGATTTCATGTCATCAGTACAGTGTATCTGCTTCTATGCTAAGTTAAATAAAATGCAAATCAGAACCCTCTATGCCTTTCACATCTTCCATTCTGTTTTCATCATTTTTTAAAGCAGAGAAAACAAACAATTAAAAACAGTGTTCTGTGTATGGATCTTTCATTCTGCGATCTGATCATGCCCCTCTACTCGGCAGTGGTGAGGCCGCACCTCGAGTGCGTGTCCAGTTTTGGGCCCCTCACTACAAGAAGGACATTGAGCTGCTGGAGCGTGTTCACAGAAGAGCGACAAAGCTGGTGAAGGGCCTGGAGAGAAAGCCTTATGAGGAGCAGCTGAGGGAGCTGGGGGTGTTTAGTCTGGAGAAAAGGAGGCTGAGGGGAGACCTGATCGCTCTCTACAACGACCTGAAAGGAGGTTGTAGTGAGGTGGGGGTTGGTCTCTTCTCCCCGGTAACTAGTGATAGGACAAGAGGAAACGGTCTCAAGTTGCGCCAGGGGAGGTTCAGGCTGGACATTAGAAAGAACTTGCTCACTGTTAGAGTCATTAAGCGTTGGGATGGGCTGCCCAGGGAGGTGGTGGAGTCCCAATCCCTGGAGGTGTTTAAGACAAGACTGGATGTGGCACTTAGTGCCATGGTCTAGCTGACATGGCGGTGTTAGGGCAAAGGTTGGACTTGATGATCTCAGAGGTCTCTTTCAACCAAACTGATTCTGTGATTCTGTGCCTTCACTCTGTATGAGTATCTCGATGTTCTTCGTTCAAGAACATGCTTCTAGACAGAGTTTACCTTTACATCTGTAAATAATACTGCTCCCATTTACATGGTGGGCATCCCAGAAACTTTCCTTCTGTACTTACATACGTACTTAATTTTGATCAGAAACGTACCAGTTCAGAGAACCATTAAATATTTTTAGGATTGAGGTAAGATAAACTGTAGCCTGGTAAGTGTAACAAGGATCAATGGGTTAATTTGTGTTGCTTTATAACTTCTGTAAGGGTAGATCCCTGGGGTATGATCTGCCAGTGAAAGAATGTTTTGAAGATGTAGTGTATAACCTGATGCCTGTGAGGATGTCTCTGGCAAACCTGACAGAACTAGAATTCAACTCATGCATTTTATGCAAAACTAAGTTGAATTAATCTCTCTCTAATGCATATTTAAAGCAGATGTCATTTTTTTCTTATTCTACATTCCACCAGATGATTTAAAATATGAAGAGCTGTGCTTCATTGGTGTAGCTTCCTATAACTGCTCATTCTCTGTATGTAGTGTACTCCTGATGCTCTAAAGCCAATGCTATGACCTGAACAAAGGTGACTGAGCGAAGAGGCCTCTTAAGTCAGCTCATGAGTCATCAAAGAAAGGTCATTTCACATTACATGGGGGCCTACTTAAAATGGGGGCCTGAGTCCCAAGAAAAGAAGAGCAGGAAATAGGGTCCAGTACTGTCTTGCCTCTTGAGACTGTGAGATCCAGCAGTAGATCCAAAATTTGTCTCACCTCTTTGGTGTGAAAATGCAGTCCCTGCAAATCACTAGGCCCACACTGGAATAGGCAATGTGGGAGATTTAGCCTAATCCTAAATACACATGGCTACGGTGTTAGGAGTTTTCAGGAAGACTGAGTACACAACAAGTTTCATTTATAAAATATGCTGCTGAACAGTTAGTAGCATGGCCTTTCCCAGGCCCAGATCTCATTCTTGTCTGCTCTACCAAGGCTGGACCCAGCACCCCTGGCCATTGCTCATTCTCCAGAGGCACTTGGTGTTTCTCACTCATTCCTATTCTGGTGGGATGCTTTGGCTCTGTGCCCCACTGGATTCAAACAGCAGCATATAACATTGCTGTTAACAAACGAGAGCCTCGTGCAGTGGCTGGATCAAAGCTAGGAAAGGGAAAAGGCTTTAAATATTTCCCTTCTGCACTAACTCCTGTCCCTTATTTCTGCCCTCAAAAGGAGGGCAGGTGCCAGACATTGGGGATTTACTACCATTTTACTTTCTAATGCAAATTGTGCTGTAGTGTTTCATATGCCCTTTCTCTGCCTATTTCTGCTTCTGTTACATCCCCAAGCTTTCCTTGTACCCCTAATTGCTGACTTCTGAACATCACAATGTAAATAGCTTGTGAGCCTTGGTCTTTAAAACTGTTGCTTTCAGTACTTAGAACTTTATTTAGGGGAAATAGAACAATTTTTAGCAAAAAGCCACAATAGAAATATGCCCCCTACAGTGTCTGACCGCAGATGAATGTTGTAACATTGTAATGTGGTTAGGGACCTGAGGCATGCCAACGGACTGCATGACTTCAATTTAGACTTCACTGTTCTGCCACTTAAATATTCTCATGGAGCAAGTATGTAGAGTTGAGCTGTCTTCCAAGCATCATCATGCAAAAACTGAGATGAAGTGAGGGGGACTTCATGTGATTAAGGACTTGTTGATTCATTGAGGGCAGGAGGCACTAACATAACTAAACACCCAAATAAATCAGAGTCAGGGTGCACAGGTGAGAGTATGCAATCTGACTGTGTGTCCTTGTTCCCCAAGATTTTCCATGCTGAGCCTGGAGTTTGACTACATGTGCCAGTATGACTATGTAGAGGTCCGTGATGGGGACAATTTGGATAGCCGAATAATTAAGAAATTCTGTGGAAATGAGAGGCCGCCTCCCATCCGAAGCACTGGGTCTTCACTCCATGTCCTCTTCCAGTCTGATGGATCCAAGAACTTTGATGGATTTCATGCTGTCTTTGAAGAAATTACAGGTAAAATAATCCAAAAGTGGAACATGCCACTCTTTCTCATTAATTCAATTTCACTAATCTCTCTCCCTGTTTTGCTTCATTAAAAACTTTCATGCTGTGTTGCCAACAGCAACTTACACAAAGTCAGTACAGGGAAGATTCAAAAGCCGTTAGATGGTATGTGAATGTGAGGCTTTTCTAAGACTGAATTTCTTCTACCTGTGTGAAGAACAAGCACATCAGCCAGCAGAGAAAAGCTGCTTTTTGTGAGACTTTTCTGTTTGAATCTGAGAACTGAGTGCACAGAAGGAAATAGAGGAAGGGGCATGTGTATCTGCAATCGCAGAATTGCTCAATGCCATGTGCAGGAGCAGAGTCATTGTCTCAATTAGCAAAAACCTGGTGCAAAGCCTCATAATTAGCTCAGTGAAAATACCCTGACATGATTCTTGTGTCGGCTCATGTATCATACCATTAGGGCTTAAAAGAAAAAGAAAGTGTGTACAAAGGACAGATTATTTTCTTTAAGAGAAAAAAAAAAGAGGCATTTCCCATTCTGTGATGACCTCAGTGTTATGAATGACAGAAGCAGGGCTCCAGAACTCCTGTGTTTTTGTACGCACTTGGTGCTTGAGTCTCCCACAATGCTTTCCATCATTTCTTTCTGGCTGCAAAATAACATTGAAAGTGTAGCTGGCTCCTCATTTTGCCATTGCATTTGAAGCAGCCTCTACGCT